CCTTGACCTTGCAACAGAACTTGAGAGAATCTGGCGTGACATCCCACAAGCCTTCCTTGCACGTTTGATAGGCTCTATGCGTCGTCGATGCACTGCTGTTCCCAATGCCGATGGTGGACATACCCTTTATTGAGCTTGTGACATGGTCGTTTGACCCCTGTCCCGCATGTGGACTCGTGACGTCATTGTGATTGACTTTTCAATTGAAATTCTCCCGACTTGTTATGGTCTCATGATCCCTCCATTAAAGTTTATATGTACCTTTGACTTTGTTATCGTACTTATCAACTGGGATAATATTTTGACAATGCACAGTTTCTTTATGTGGCTAGTATATATACATAATTTTATGTATATACACTCAGACCAAGAGTTCAGCAGAAGCGCTGTAAGTGTCATTACAAGTCAATAGAAACCTGGCTTTGTTTATCTGAATCAATAAAGCCTATACGGAGAGGCCCCAACTACCAGAACAGATGGTAAAAATGCAATAAGTATGTGGTATTCAATAGAGGTTCAACTTAGAGGTAATGTAAATGGCAACTGAACATTAATATTTGCCATGACACATGGAAAGATGTTTCAGAACAACATCATGTATTTCACAAAAAGGATAGTGTGTGTGTGCGTCCGCGTTTCTCTGTGTTTGTATGTGTTCGTGTGTGTATCTCTCTCTCTCTCTCTCTCTCTCTCTCTCTCTCTCTCTCTCTCTCTCTCTCTCTCTCTCTCTCTCTCTCTCTCTCTCTCTCTCTCTCTCTCTCTCTCTCTCTCTCTCTCTCTCTCTCTCTCTCCTCTCCTCTCGCTCTCTGTGTGTCTGTGTGCCATCGTTCTAATTGATTTATGTTGAATGTGGTGTTGAACTACACGGCCAGATGATACATCGCCAGTCTATATATGAACCTGACAAGTTTTGTACAACGAATGAGGCTCAATGATATATGGGTGATGCAGAAAGAATGACATCCTCCCTTCGTCCAAATCACCAACTATCTCTATCAAGTCACAAAGATTAGTATTTAAGGAAATTAAATCCATATCGACAACGATAAAATTTTGTTTGATATAGAGTATATACAATAATTACTTCCTCAATGTAAATTGATGCAATAAAAGCATTGGACTGATACCACTGAAAACAATACAACTAATCTGCCGTGTCATCTAAAAGCATATGATACGTTAACTGCACTCAGAACTTCATATTTCAAACGTCGAGTGTATAACAGCATTTATTTATGCAGCTATTTTACAAACATTACCTACATGAATTGGAATATTCATCCGACCTTGACCGAAACTGAATATATTAAACTAAATTTTCAGGTTGACTTAACTGCATTTTGTTGGAATTTACAGAGATGAATTGATATATTTAATATATCCATAGTTCTTTGAAATATTGCAAAATAGTAGTACAACGCATCTACTGTAAATCTGCATTCAGATCTCATGATACATGTAACATCTGTTACAACAGAAAAAGGTGTAACAGACGTGATATCATTTTATCCCTGAAATTCGAAATTATTTTTAACAAACTTGTTCTTCTTGAACTTAAGTAATAATTAATGACACTGCCCAATGTTTCAGTATATTTGCCAGTATCGCCACTCTTTGTCGTCATATTCATTATCGACAAGTCGTGTTTTATCTTCCCCTTGAATGGATATGTCAATGAGGCACACAAAGGATTTTGCACCATGGTCGGTGACGGCGCATGTTGTCCTTGGCTCATGTAAGGATTCCATTTGTAAATCAATTCCTCGAAAAAACCTTGTTTGTTTAGCTATCTCTGTGTGTGCATCAGGTCCCATTACATACCGCTGGGTAAAGTGATTACTTAAGCAAAGAGGTTTTTTCTTGGCAATTCGAATCGTGTACATTTTTTCGTATACCAATAACGAAGAATTGTTATTGTTTCTAAAAACATTCGAATTCCTCGGAACCGTTTTTTTTCGTCCATATCAGAAATCAATTAAATTTACATGATAAATTATTCATACTACAATATTGGATACAAAGAGAATTACATTAAGGGTTTGGCAATGGAGTTACTAAGTTAAGTTGTACTGACTGACTGAGTTTGGTTTTACGCCGCTTTTAGCAATATTCCAGCAACATCACGGCGGGGGACACCAGAAATGGGCTTCACACATTGTACCCATGTGGGGACTCGAACCCGGGTCTTCGGCGTGACGAGCCAACGCTTTAACCATTAGGCTACCCCACCGCCCCAGTTAAGTTGTAGATACCTACATATAACATGACGATGCCGAATGAATATATAATTTTCAATATATGCATGTTTGGGTTAGCGTGTAATATTTTATAGTCGCCCAATGCATATGACTTCCTGAATAATATCTCTAACATGCATATCGGCTGTCAACCATCAAGCCTCAATGAACCAACGTCATGCTTCACTATGAGTTAATATAGTATCATGTAATTAGGTAAGGAAGAGATCAATTTAGCTCAATACTACAAAGATATAGTGTCCTCCCATTACGCAGACAGCCAGTTCGCAGACACCTTAAAACAACAACATTTACGGTTCAGTGAACAGAGTATCTACTACCTGTTACCTACACATTATAATGGAATAGTCAAATAAAACACAGGAACAAACTGAAGCTATGTTATATATTTTTGAAAGATGGACGAAAGAGAGTAATTCAAATTTTTATTGTTTTATTGCTGCAATATAAAAACAGTTTATTTTCATAAACATTTCGGTTTTAACCTTCTAGTCTAACGGGAGTCGGCATCATCATATTGAAAACATTAAGCAGCTATTGGAAATTGCGACACTGTTGTATCATATATAAATCAAATGCACAAATGTGAACCTAAATATTATTCATATGGAATAAAGAAGTTATATGTTTTGCACACAATATTAAGATACATGACACGTGCACTTAATTACGATTTGCTTAGGATAAATATTTGAAATATGACACATCATGTCAATGTGGCCATGGATGTGAGAACGCTTTTCATTACTTCCTTGAATGTCCATTGTATACTACTCAAAGACACAAACTGTTACAATCTTTAGAAAGTATTGTTAAAATTAGAACACTGATTTGTATTAATCGTATCTTACATGGCAATGCAGGTGTCAGTTAATATAGTATCATGTAATTAGGTAAGGAAGAGATCAATTTAGCTCAATACTACAAAGATATATTTATTCGGTTATCCTATTCGTGCGATCTAACAATGAGGAAGATGAGTGAGTGTTGTTTTACGGCGTCTTCTGAAATAATTAGCAGTGTCACAGTTGCACAACAACGAGATACACACTTTGTTACAGTATGATGAATCAAACCCGGAACTTACGATTGACGAGCCGGCGCTTTCATCCTTTAAAGCCAACGAACCGTCATAGGTTGATTTATTACGATTGATCGATATTCATGGATCAAATATGTAGAATATATCCTGTTCAGAATGTACAATATTATAACAGAAAATACATAGTGCATGTTTATTGTAAACATAAATAAAAAAATACCAAATCTGTAAATCCTCTTTAAAAACCTCATTGAAAAAATAAGGACAAAGAAATTGATTTTTTGTCAGGTGCCTGATCATGACTACTGGCTTCCCATTTTTAGGTTCCGAGACAATCACAACCCGGCCGTCTTTACACACCATATACACAGCGGTCACTGTGTGCAACGTGTGGTCATGAGGAGGATCCCTCCTCACAGTATTTACCCACAGTGCCTGCATTATTCATGGCGCTACACGTGTCCCGGGAGACGGTTGGGACGGCTGCCGCGACGTCGCTCACAGCATGGTCGACATTGATTTCCAGAATGAATGAAGGCAAGGACGGGAAACAATGGCGATCACCACTGTCAACGACACTGGGGGTCACTTCTGTCTGAACTGTGTTTGGCACCACACCTGGTAAGTAGGGAAGCAATTTGTTGATATCGACCTGGCGCTGATGACTGAGATGTGATTCCTGGCAGTAAACGACAATCGCAGACATTGAAAATTGAGGCTGTAATTTTGAATTCAAATTGAAAAATGTCTTTGTAATCTCCTGTGTTGTTTCGACACCTTTTGAAAAGTAATATCCATATTCTAGGACATGGATAAGCGTTTTTTTATTTCTGATGGACGTGTGTGTACTATGTTAAACATCTGTCATGAGTGAATGAAAATTATGATTGAAGACCTATTACTACTGGTGTCTAAATTGTGCGAAAATCCATGCGTGTGTTATCCTAAGCAGAACCGGCGTCTTATCAGCTCTATCAGTAAAACGATCAGATTACTATCGCCAGCCACATGTGTATTCGAGTTAAGATGCTTGTATGGCAATATTTGCTTTGCAATCAAAGATTATTAATTGGCTGATTGTGTTAGCAATTATATATAATATATTTTACAATTCCATCTTACGTTTTTTCAAACAGATTCCTTCAACAAATTACTCAACCGATATCTATTTTCAGAAGGGATATGGTTCACAATATTCCTGATTCCGTGGCAAGATGCTTGTGATTTCCTAGGATCAGCTGTTTCTTAACATTAATCAAGAGGCGCCAGTGAAACGAGCGTGAATTGTGTATTTTCATATCATAAATATTTATCAACAATTATTTAACACATGGATCTCAGTGTATATTGGTTTGTTTGCGCGAGTATGTGAAAGATTTTAATGAAATTAGTAACAGTTCTCCACAGATCGGACGCTCCCCTGCCGCTGAATCAGCTTCATAATTATTCCTTCACAAGCCGAGACTCAGCGTGGTGTACACCTAAAAACAAACAAAGATTTATTGAGGAGCACAGCGGATGGACCAATTTATGTGCTGAGGAATATAGAAACCAACCGGAAGTACCGACTACTGTGGCATTCGGAGACAGAAGCAGAAAGTGAATTATCGGTATCACTGAAGCGGAGAAAGCACATGTGCCTATTCATGTAAGCAGTGAGCATGTGTGAAAACAGAGTGTTATTTTTAAATACTTAGCTGTTCATCCTTCACCTACGCTATGACACAACGTGTTCAGCTGCGCTAGATACGAACATCCAAGAGGATGGTAGTGTTAACAATGTACTCGTCAACACCAGGATTAAGTCAGCTTCGTTGGTACCGGGTTACCCTCTATGCTTTTATGAGTACTGTATGTTGTTGGTGCCACGGAGTTCCGTTTACTACACGAATCTGGTAACGGTTTTTATGTGTTTTAGTCTTTTACAATGGTGTTTACGTTTCGTATTGGCTTTGTGACAGCCATCTTGACAGACAAGGATTCGCCATTTTCAATCTGGTGTCAATTATTGACAAGCGGATTGTGACCTGTGCAGAACACCGTGGAATATCTTCCTGTGAAAGAACAAACGTGTTGTAGCAAATGCGAAGGATTTGTATCAGTGCGTGGTATGTTAACGGTCGACAGAGTACGTGGCGCTGTGTTATCTAATGCTTGTTAACCATCAGGCATGACAATCATGATTTACGGATGTGTTGTGTGACCGTGTAAGAATATGAAGATCTAGACTTCACAGAGCTACCTCAATTCACTGAAGACAGGGAAATATACTTATCAACAACCATGGGCTTGTTGATGAGAAGGAAGAAAAAGAGTAAGTGTCTTTTACTTAGCTTTATATTTTTCATGTGCCATTTCATACAGCGTCGTCTTTATTGCACATTCCCGCTTCTTTGGTCATCTGTAATCCATGTACCATTCATCAACTTTGTACCATGTCTCATTTGTTACACATCCTCGATATGTGATGGTTATCTTTCAACACTGTAGGATATGCAGCATATGCCCTCTATATGATAGCCATGGGTCATCTTTGTAGCATATCCCCTCTATATGATAGCCATGGATCATCTTTGTAGCATATCCCCTCTATATGAAAGCCATGGATCATCTTTGTAGCATATGCCCTCTATATGATAGCCATGGATCATCTTTGTAGCATATCCCCTCAATATGATAGCCATATGATCATCTTTGTAGCATATTCCCTCAATATATGATAGTCATCTTTGGATCATATCTCTATTGATAGCCATATCATCTTTGTACCATATATACGATAATATGGTCATCTTTGTAGCATATCTATATACGATAGTCATGTGTCAAATCTGTAGCATATCCCCTCTATATGATAGCCATAGGTCATCTTTGTAGCATATCCCCTATATACGATAGTCATGTGTCATATCTGTAGCATATCCCCTCCATATGATAGCCATGTGTCATCTTTGTACAAGATCCCCTATATACGATAGTCATGTGTCATCTTTGTAGCATATCCCCTCAATAGGATAGCCTTATACCCCTATATACGATAGTCATGTGTCATCTTAGTAGCATATCCCCGCAATATGATAGCCATTTGTCATCTTTGTAGCTTATCAAGGCTATATAATAGCCATGTGTAATCCATGTAATATCACCTGCTTTAAGATGGTAAAGTGTCATTTGGGTAGAATCCCCCCCCCCCCCTTACATGATGAACAGGTGTCCTCATTATGACATATCCCCTCTGTATGGTGAGAATTCCCCGCTATATGGCGGTCATGTGTCATCCTCGTATCATATCATATATGACGGTCATGTGTCATCCTTCTGTATGGTGAAATATTCTCCATATATGACGGTCATGTGTCATCCTTGTACCATATCCCTTCTGTATGGTGAAATATCCCCCATATATGACGGTCATGTGTCATCCTTGTACTATATCCCTTCTGTGTGGTGAAATATCCCCGCTATACGACGGTCATGTGTCATCCTTGTACCATATCCCTTCTGTATGGTGAAATATCCTCCATATATGACGGTCATGTGTCATCCTTGTACCATATCCCTTCTGTGTGGTGAAATATCCTCCATATATGACGGTCATGTGTCATCCTTGTACCATATCCCTTCTGTGTGGTGAAATATCCTCCCGATATATGACGGTCATGTGGCATCCTTGTAGCATATCCCTTCTGTGTGGTGAAATATCCTCCATGTATGACGGTCATGTGTCATCCTTGTACCCTATCCCTTCTGTATGGTGAAATATCCCCCATATACGACGGTCATGTGTCATCCTTGTACCACATCCCTTCTGTGTGGTGAAATATCCCCATATATGACGGTCATGTGGCATCCTTTTGTACCTTCTATATCCTCCTTCTGTATGGTGAAATATCCCCAATATACGACGGTCGTGTGTCATCCTTGTACCACATCCCTTCTGTGTGGTGAAATATCCCCAATATATGACGGTCATGTGTCATTCATGTACCATATCCCTTCTGTGTGGTGAAATATCCTCCATATATGACGGTCATGTGTCATTCATGTACCATATCCCTTCTGTGTGGTGAAATATCCTCCATATATGATGGTCATGTGGCATCCGTGTACCATATCGCTTCTGTATGGTGAAATATCCTCCATATATGACGGTCATCCCTGTAGCATATCCCTTCGGCGAGGTGAAATATCCTCTATATATGACGGCCATGTGTCATCCCTGTAGCATAACCCTTCTGTGTGGTGAAATATCCTCCATATATGACGGTCATGTGTCATCCTTGTATCATATCCCTTCTGTATGGTGAAATATCCTCCATATATGACGATCATGTGTCATCCTTCTACCATATCCCTTCTGTGTGGTGAAATATCCCCGCTATATGACGGTCATGTGTCATCTCTGTAGCTTGTCCCCTCTGTATGGTGAAATGTCCCCGCTATATGGCGGTCATGTGTCATCCTTGTACCATATCCCTTCTGTGTGGTGAAATATCCTCGATATATGACGGTCATGTGTCATCTTTGTACCATATCCCTTCTGTATGGTGAAATATCCCCGCTATATGACGGTCATGTGTCATCCTTGTACCATATCTCTTCTGTATGGTGAAATATCCTCCATTTATGACGATCATATGTCATCCTTGTACCATATCCCTTCTGTGTGGTGAAATATGCCCGCTATATGACGGTCATGTGTCATCCCTGTAGCTTATCCCTTCTGTATGGTGAAATATCCCCGCTATATGACGGTCATGTGTCATCCTTGTACCATATCCCTTCTGTATGGTGAAATGTCCCCGCTATATGACGGTCATGTCATCGGTCTGTATGGTGAAAAATATGACGGTCTCATATATCATGTGTCATCCCATATCCCTTCTGTATGGTGAAATATCCTCCATATATGACGATCATGTGTCATCCTTGTACCATATCCCTACTGTGTGGTGAAATATGCCCGCTATATGACGGTCATGTGTCATCCCTGTAGCTTGTCCCCTCTGTATGGTGAAATGTCCCCGCTATATGACGGGTCATGTGTCATCCTTGTATCATATCTCTTCTGTATGGTGAAATATCCTCCACATATGACGGTCATTGTCATTTGTCATCCTTGTACCATATCCCTTCTGTATGGTGAAATGTATGGTGAAATATCGCTTCTGTATGGTGAAATGTCCCCACTATATGACGGTCATGTGTCATCTTTGTACCATATCCCTTCTGTATGGTGAAATATCCTCCATTTATGACGATCATATGTCATCCTTGTACCATATCCCTACTGTGTGGTGAAATATGCCCGCTATATGACGGTCATGTGTCATCCCTGTAGCTTGTCCCCTCTGTATGGTGAAATATCCCCGCTATATGACGCTCATGTGTCATCCACTATATGTATGTGTCATATCGTAGCTTCTGTATGGTGAAATATCCCCACTATATGACGGTCATGTGTCATCTTGTCCCCTCTGTATGGTATGACATCCTAGTACCATATCGCTTCTGTATGGTGAAATGTCCCCACTATATGACGGTCATGTGTCATCTTTGTACCATATCCCTTCTGTATGGTGAAATATCCTCCATATATGACGATCATGGTCATCTTGTCATATCCTTGGTACCTATATATCTGTCATCCCTTCTGTATGGTGAAATGTCCCCGCTATATCCTCCACGTGTCATCCTTGTACCGATCCCTCTGTATGTGAAATATGCCCGCTATATGACGGTCATGTGTATCCCTGTATGGTGAAATATCCCGCTATATGACGCTCATGTGTCATCCTTTGTGGTGTATGGTGAAATGTCCCCACTATATGACGGGTCATCTTTGTACCATATCCCTTCTGTATGGTGAAATATCCCATGTATGACGATCATATGTCATCTGTATGGTGGTGAAATATCCCCGCTATATGACGGTCATGTGTCATCCCTGTAGCTTGTCCCCTCTGTATGGTGAAATATCCCCGCTATATGACGCTCATGTGTCATCCTTGTACCATATCGCTTCTGTATGGTGAAATATCCCCACTATATGACGGTCGACGGTCATGTGTCATCCTTGTACCATATCGCTTCTGTATGGTGAAATATCCTCCATATATGACGGTCATGTGTCAGCCTTGTACCATATCGCTTCTGTATGGTGAAATATCCCCGCTGTATGACGGTTATAACGGTTGCGTGTGATGTTGGAAGAAGTCCCCTCTTTGTGGTAAGTATGTCATTATTTTACGATATCCCATATATGTGGCGAAATCTCTTCGCTGTATGACGGTCATGTGTCGGATTTGTATTGCACGTTCTCTATAAAATTTTCTGATATCAAGAACGAATTGTGCCGAAAGAACACCGTCAGCACAGTACCTGGTACCTATAATGTAGGAGCATTTATATTCTATTCTTGTGAGAATTTTAGGCGTCTCCCTGTGTCAATTGTTTGCCAGATTAGGTCTCATGTGTCTCATACCTACCGTGAAGTGAGTGAGTGAGTTTAGGTTTACGCCACACTCAGCAATATTCCAGCTTTATGGCGACGGTCTGTAAATAATCGAGTCTGGATCAGAAAATCCAGTGATCAACAGCATGAGCATCGATGTACGCAATTGGGAACCGATGACGTGTGTCAACCAAGTCAGCGAGCCTGACCACCCGATCCCGTTAGTCGCCTCTTACGACAAGCATGGCTTACTGAAGATCAATATTCTAACCCGGATCTTCACGGGTGCTGCACTGATGATGTAGATGCTACCGTAATAGAAGTGTCATATTGCAGCAGGTGTAAACAACATTCATTCACTAGTAAGTGGTTTCATTGTTTCACATTTTCAAACAAAAACGATCTTTCATGCTCTCCTGCAAATCTGCAGTCAGGTCAACCCACAAGGACCTTTCCCTGACGCTAAAATCAAAGATATCGATCTGCTAATGATTAAACCTCATGAGTAGTTAACCGAATCCCCCGAGGCGTTCATTGAATAATGTAGTAAGCACCTCCCCTAGATATCATGTGTAAAAAGGCTTTACTAGAAAGTAAAGGTGGCGAATCTGCTTTCATCGGAAGATTCGTACATAACACTTAGGTCACGTGGTGTGGTGTTAATCACACGGGAGAAATAAATACGCCCGGGCTCAGGACACCGTCTAATAAAGCCTAATGGCCACATTCCTGTATTTGCAAGACAGCTGGAAGTAATTGGCACACTGAGGCAATGCTTTACCTTGGTAATTTGGTCTGTACTTGCCATCGATCTTTAACCTCATTGACACCCTGTCTTTGATGGATGAACGTATAGCGTT